TAATGCCGCGCAATTCACAAGTTCGCAATTTATTTAACGATATTTAACGATTAGCGGGTTCCAGTAAGAGTTCTTCCAAACTTCTTTCTTTACTCCTCACTTAAATATAAAAAGCAGTGAAGGAGAAACTTCAGGAGTACTGTGCAACAATGTATTTGTGAGAAGTTGTGTAAATCAGATCTGGATATTTAAAAATTGCAAGGAACGTTTGGAAAAATTTAAAATCACAAAATTTTACCAAAATAACATAAAAACGTGTGAGTTTTCAACTCTATATACAACCATTCCCAGTGATAAATTAAAATCCAGGCTTTTTGACATTATCGACAGCTGCTTTTTCAATAAGAATGGAACTCGAAAATTTATTTACCTTGTCATTGGTCATTTACAAAATTATTTTGTTAAAAAACATTCTGTTTGTAAACACAAGTACTCTGAAGTTGATATTAAAAAGATATACTTGAGTTTCTGATTGACTATATCTATGTGTTTTTTGGAGACCAGGTCTTCCAACAATCTGTCGGATTTCCCATGGGTACCAATTGCGCCCCGTTATTAGCAGACTTATCTTTGTACTCATATGAAGCAGAATTTATTAAAAATCTTATATATGAGAAGAAAACACTTGCTGTGGCCTTCAACTCGGCATTTAGATATATTGACGACATATTATCAATTAACAATAGTTTTTTCCGTTCATATGTCGACACGATATATCCCAGTGAGCTTGAAATTAAAGATACCACAAAGTCTGACACATCTGTTTCATACCTAGATATTTTACTAGAAAAAGACGTTAATGATAACCTAACAACAAAGCTTCATGATAAACGTGATGACTTTACCTTTTCAATCGTCAACTTCCCTTACTTATGCAGCAATATACTCTTATCAGCTGCATATCTCTCAGTTGATTCGTTACGCAAGAGCATGCGCTATGTATGACAATTTCTAAAACGAGGTTAGTTATTGACAAAACAAGTTGATGAAAAAAGGATATCAACAGTCTCGTTTAAAGTCATCATTTCGTAAGTTCTACGGTCGATACAATGACCTTGTCAGCAAAAAAAAAAAATCTACCATTAAGTCAAATGCTGACTGACATTTTTCGTACTAATTGTTATGCCATTATTTACACACTGATTTGTCGATTGGATTTTCTGTTATTTCCCTGTGTGTGTGACCGGTCAGCAGGGATGCTCACTTCTCCATGCCACCTGATCCCTCCTCCGATGTTTAAGAGGTCCTTGTTTGCTCTGCTCCTGATTTTTATCGTTTGAATGGACTTTTGAGCTTGAATACTGTTCTTTATCACCATATTTCATGATATGAATTATTTCCCGCTTATGCATGGCATGCGGGGATCTAGATGGGCTTCGGTTTTTAGGGTCGAAAGACCATTGACTTTCAATGCCAAAGGAATAGTCACTTTCTACATGTATTTAAAATATCTCGGTTTGGCACGGCACCAGAAAGATTGGACAACCAAACGCTGAGCTCCCATTGCGTACGAAGCTATCTCCCATAGACACTAGGCTACTGTGATCAGTGCCTAATTTAATTGCAATGATATCAAGTTTTTGAAAATAGCCATCCAGTAAATGCGGGTTCGTGACAACGTTTTAGGGGGTATTGATATTTGGAAAAACAAGACGTTAGAATACAGCTAGAAAATAAAACATTAAAAAATGCGGTACTGATACTCCTCCATACTTTCTCATTATTAAAATTTGACAATCTAGACTATACATTTGTAGACTTGTGAATTGTCTTTGTGTTCTCGGCAAATAGATAGCAGAAAACATGTATAGAGGGATGAAAGGATAACTTACAACACATGCAAGTTTAATGTCTTGTTTACTACAAGTAGACGAAGTGTACAAGTATGATATCAAGCAGGGCAAAATTACAGTAAATTCTGAAGTTGTACATGTATGTTCGGAACTACATGCTAAAATTAATCAGAATTACCTACTTACATGTGTAGACTATGAACCTGCTACGATTGTAAGTTCGGATTTACAAACTTACAAGACTGGATATTTGAACACGATTATCCTCCATACTTAAGCACCCTTTTCTCGTGACGGCTGCCTTTTTACTTCTTTTGTTCAGAAGAGGATCGAGCGTGGGAGAGGGATCTCCTTACATATATGTAGTAAATGAAATAGTACCCTCCAAGGTAACACGGAACCCTTGTTAGAATTTAAGTTTATGCTATGGAGGTAATCGGCTAGTCCTTCAGAAGTTTCATTACCCCCTACCCCTTAATATCCGTTTTTGTTTCTTTTTGTTGTTTAGTTTTTGTGTGTTTGTGGTTATGTTTTGTTTTGTCCCTTTTTTGCAAACCTTTACAGTAAAGAAACTAAATTATTTACCGGTGTATTGCGATTCTTTGAATCAGGAATGCTCCAAGAAACTCATGTGTCGCCTGCTTTGTAGTTTCCTTAAAGATGTAAATAAATCTTAAAGAAGTCAGCTACTTTTTACTATTAGCATGATAGTTTATGCATTCGCTTGCAAAGAAAAAATGACATCCATGGATTAGTATAAGACTCCAATAGAATTTGACAAGAAAATGTTGTTCCCTAACCCTCAAATGAATAATTAAATAGAAATTATATTAGAAATGGTTACTAGTATTTATCATTTATTAATGCGTGTTTCCAACAATCCTCCAAAGGGATTTCTTTCTGTATTTGCTGCAATATTGTCAGTCTACATGATCCACCTGGAATACCAATCCCGATGTATTTTTATAGTATTTAAATACAAGTTTATTTGGTAAGCGAATACGATACAGTTTCAAAGCACTGTATCATAAGCTCGACGTGTTTTCAACAATCCTCCAAAAGAGATCAGTTTGTCTTTACTACAATTGTCAGTCTACATGATCTATATGAGTGGATTGTAATGCTGATATTTTTTCATAATATCTCATGACAAACAGCGCACAAGCTAAATAACATAGACCTACCCCTTAAATGTCAAAAATATTCCGTTTATCGGCACTATGATCTATTTTTGAAAAGTAGGTCAAGGGTCACAAGGTCAGTAACCATGGTAATTTAAAAAGCCATAGTACCAAGCAATATATACTGTATATGTGCAAAATATCAAATCCATACCTCTTACAATTCTCGAGATAAAGGGTGTGACAGACGGACAGACAGACAGGGTAAATTGATCCCTAAGTGCATCTCTGCTCTGCAGGCGACACAAAAATGTCGTTTTGTGATACTTAATACCACCAAAATGCATGGACTTCTGATTTCTTAACAAAGTTTGGAAATTTACAATGTCAGAATTTAACGTTTTCAATCGTTCCTAACAGTAAGATTGCTGTTGTATGGTTGCATTTCGTTGCAAAACTGTAATCAAATCAACAAGAATGTTTTTGTTACACCGTATTTATAATTATAGCTTTATAAGCTATGTTTATAAACTTAAACTGATCTTTAACTGATTTTATTGACGTTTTATTAGATTTTCTTTCTATCTTTAAAATATCTTCTTATAATTTATATTTTTATGTTAAATAAAATGTTTTCATGATTTTTTTTTTATTGTTGCAGGCCCGTAGGAAGCAATTTCAGTGTGTGTGAGGGGGGAGGGGGGCACAGCCATACGTTTTCAGTTGGGGGCACTATCAACAACCAAATATTCCTTGACAAGCGAAAAAAAGTCTTCAGACGATTTTATTAAGGGGGCACCAGCATATAGTAGCTATGTTTTCTATAGTAATCTACAATAATGTATAGTAATGCCCCCCTCCACCCCACCCCGGGTTCCTACGGCCATGCGTTGGTCACAGCTCTAAAATTATCAGAAATAGCCATCCTTGTGTTCTATGAGTCCATTCATATCAAACAGATTTTTTTTATTTTGGTCTCTCTCCTTAATTGTCAGAAGAAATCAAATTACATACCTCTAATTAGTGAAAACCCAAACCACTGGGGGGGGGGGGGGACTTTTTTTGATGAGATTGTTAATGTGCATCTTAATGACGTTGCCAATGTTCAATGCACGAAGAGGAGATTGTTGAAAAAGTTATCTTCGGAAAAGGAGATTATCTGAAGAATATCCTTTGAAGGAAACAAGCAATGCAACTCTTATTGGTCTTATTTTGAACTTTTATAAGAGTTATCTCCCGTTAACTATTTATGGCCAAGGGAGTCAAAAAGAAACTAAACCTCGGATAATTATTAAAATGTGCAGAGCAAACGTTTACTGCCATTTATTATTATTATCATCATTATTATTATTAGAGGGGGTCAACATATATTACACTGTTCAATCAACATGACAGATTGTAGCGCAATTTTTGTATTTTTTTCATCTCAATTTTTCTATTTTTTTATTCCTTTTTTCATCTGATAATAAAAAAAATCGAGATTTTTATCATTCTAGGTAAAATCTGTTTTAATAAATTAATAAAAAATTGAAAACATCAAAAATTCAAAACATCAAAATAAGTTAGAAAGTGCACTTATGCCAATCCTTTTTTAAGTCAATGGATGCAATAATTGGATTCTATTTCGATAAGTGTGCATGAAATGACGAAATTTTGGAATAGGAGGGGCTAGAATTTTGTTTATGATGTTTGTCGTGTCTGTCAACAAGAAGTCCCTGGGGCATACAATGGGGAATTTAAAAAAATGTAAAGAAATTATTAATATTGTAAAGTTTTAAGGTTTTATTATAATTTTGAACTTCCCCCAAGCACTGTATTCACCCAAGTCAACTGAAATGGTACATAAATGGGTAAGCAGGGCCCAGAGCAAGTGAGAGAGGCGTATTGTTCATATCCACTCGCCCAATAAAATTGTATTCAAAATATTTCACCAAAATTTCTATATGTATTTATTTAATTCAATTGCTGCATCCAATCGGTCATGAATTTTATCCACGGTATATTTTGAATAAAATAGAAATAATATTCGGCGGACAATGTCACCTTGTTATTTACGTTCCCTGCAGGAGCCCCACGACTTGTATTTCGGTGGCCCTTCTCTCTTTTGGCCGACCAGTGAACCGTAACGTCGACGAACAGACACGAAAGTTTTACAGGTTTTACTTCGGAACACACTTTCGGACAGGGGAAACAAGATACCAAATATACAGAGGAGTTTTGACACATAAAAAGGTAAGTATTAAATAAAGTTATAGTACAAGAAAGTTAGATTTCTGAAATAGGAAAATTTGGTACTTTGAAAGTTGTCACAGGCCGTCAAAACAATTTACACCCAGCTGATAAGGACCGTAGGATATTCAGACTGCATGTTTTTATTAACACGACGCGATTTTCACACGCGATGCTTATATTGCAGACAAAAACAATTTTACTGAAACACCGTCAGTCTTAGTTTTCATAAAGACTTTAAAAACTTTCGTTGTCTTGTAACTGTTAAGCTTGAGAAGGGATCTTGAAGTAAGTCTGCCTTCATATACTTCAATATAAAGCCATTATTTATCACACTTCTTTTTTAAAAAAATGTATACTGTTTTTTGTATATTCTTGACTAATTTCAGTAAAATTGTATAACAGTTTAATCATAGGTGCTTTGAATCCGTTATTCACCCGGCTTACAGGTCAATTAAGCTGTTAATTAATGCACCGTTTGACAAGGAAGCAATTTGGCGATATTTGTTTATGTATTCTCAGATTGTTTGTAAGTATTTCAGAAAAATATATTCCATGGCTTTTTCTGTGAATCTAAACGACGTACTAATTTATGTTTAATATCCACCTGTTCACTTTTGGTCTGGTAGCCATACAAGAATTATCTGCCCTTGGACCACTGGGGGAAAAAAGTCGAAACCATTTAAAAATGTTTGGCATGTTTTAAATTCCCGTCACAATAAGCATAATTTGTTTGGATAGCTATATGACATTGTTTTGTAAATATGTCGAGTCCATGTGGCTTTCAAAAAAATATAATGAGGGATTGCAACTCATTGCGCCTTAACAAAATTAATCCCCATGGTCTTATATGACTGAACAAAGTGACACTTAACTAAGTTTGCTCTGTCGTATTTTCAATTGCTCATTAAGGAGTTAAAACATAGGAATCACACTCGAGTACTTATAATTCTATTTTTGTAACAGTGTCGCAATTAATGGGTTGATGATTTCTAGGTAGTGCATTCACTTTCCCTTTGTCAATAACAAGACATTTTGTGGTATGCTTTCCTTGGTCATAATTCGTTTCACCGATTCGTATCAATCAAAAATGTAATTTAAATTGAAATCAATACTTTAAATTCTTTTTTTGTAAAACATTGACAAAATATTGACGTTGATCATGTATTTGATATTATTAGCATCAAAAGGCACAATGTGATGAAAAAAGCACTAGTAAAGAAATTAGTAAGCCAAATTTGTGATTTAGAAAAGAAAGATTAAGTTATTAAGAGTTAATTTGGTATTTTATTGGGTGGTAAAATGTTAGGACGTCAAATACATGTAATTCCGTATGTCAAGTTTGACAGTTTTATGAATTTTAACTCTGATCCTCAGATAAGTACACTATATGATGAAAGCACATGCAGAAAAAATAGTAAGCGAAATTTATGATGTTAAATAGAAAGATTAATTTATTGATTAGAAAATTGTATTTTTTTCTGTAAATGGTACATGCTCGTTATAAGGACGTCACAAATTCCATATGTCAGATATGGCATTTTTATGAATTTTGGAATAAAGTTTGCATATAGTTGATTGTCAAAATATAGCTTAAATTTGGCAAATATTCACTTCCCCTCTTTAGACCAAGTGACATTTGAAAAGCCGTTGATTTAGTGTGATTTTCTCCCGTGGTGAGCCTCAGTCCTTTCACACTCCAAGATAAGTCTGTAGCTGGCTTGCCTCAGGCAAAATTGTCAATGTATACAGATTATGTCGTTTATTTTTATACATATATGCTTGGCTTCGTTTGTTCAGCTATCAAGCACCGCGATAAAAGATAGAAGATTGATGTGATATGCATACGATATAAGAGAATATAAAAAACCATTTAAGTTCACATACATAACCCAATCAACAAATTCAGGGCCAACTTTTATTTTCTTGGTTTCATGTGATAATTGATATATTTCTTTAATTTTCATGAAAATCTTGCTTTAATCTTAAAAATTTGATCAGAAGTAGGAAGTTGATAAATAATTGAGATAAAATGTGAAAGCTTTTAATTATATCGGTGTAACCTTATGCATTGGCTAATTGAATGGGAAGTTATTTTTTTTTTTCTTTGAATATTGCGCCCACAACAGGAAATCTAAGTCGTGTATAAGCGCATCTGTAATTTATAAAATTATAAGCGCAATCAATAATTAACTTATCTTTGTATTTACAAAAAAATCACTTACTGATGAATTCATATTTTGGCGGTTATCTTGGACTAGTGTTGACAGCGCGTGAGGCGCTAAATTATAAGTTGTCAATCTGCATAACGCAACCAATAGTTATGCGTTTACAATAATCATATATGGATTCTGGCGGTAATCTTGGGCTAGTGCATTTTTGACAAGGCATGAGGCGCTGAATTATGAATCTTGCTAAATAAGTGTACATGTATCTATCATTAGCAAGGTCTTTTCCTCTTCCGATAAAGGTTTGCAAACTAAGCTTTAAGTAGCTAATCATTGCATTTTCTCCTCTTTACAGAATGTCTGAATTACTGGGACACGTCCCAAACTTTCGGAAGCTTCGTGGAAAGCCGAATGATGATGGCCTGGACCGTATGAGTCACGTGGTCACAGTCGTCCTCCTCATAATTTTTACCGTTGCCATTAGCTCAGGTCAGTTCTTCAAAGACCCGATAGTATGCTGGAATCCTGCAGAATTCAAAGACCATATGGAGTCGTATACAAAATGGAACTGTTGGGTGAAAAACACCTACTATGTTCCAATGACAGAGGAAATTCCAGTCAACATCGACCAGCGACAGTCGGCAGAACTAACGTATTATCAATGGGTGCCAATTATTTTACTTTTCATGGCATTTTTATTTAAACTTCCTAACATGGTCTGGAGAATTTTCAATGGCGGATCAGGCTTGAACATGGATAAATGCGTCTACTTCGCAGAAAAGGCACAGTATGACAACCCAGATGACAGACAGAAAGATCTGTATGCTCTTGCAAGATTCATGGATAAATGGCTGGATACCAACAAAGAGTACAAATGGAACGTTTTCGTCCGCACCAAGCATCAGGCTTCTCGATTCATCTGTTTCTTCTGCAACAAACGCGCCGGAAGATACCTCACGGCCATGTATCTGTTTGTCAAAGTCTTGTACGTCGTAAACGCCATTGGACAACTGTTTTTACTGAACGCATTCCTCGCCACTTCATATAACTTTTACGGATTCGAATTTTTGGAAAACATGGGGCAGAGTGGTCCATGGAGAGAGAGCCCAAGGTTTCCTCGCGTCACCCTATGTGATATTCGCATTCGCCAACTTCAGAACCTGCAGCGCTTCACAGTACAATGCGTTCTTCCTATCAACCTCTTCAACGAGAAAATCTTCATTTTTATTTGGTTCTGGTTAATTTTTATTGCATGCATTGCCACCTTTAACCTTTTGAACTGGATCTACCTTATCATGTTCACCAGGAATAAGGTAGCTTACATCAAGAAGTTTTTGAAGATAAACAACGAACTGCATACGAACTTTGACAAGAAACTGGCAGCGAAATTCGCAGAGAGTTATCTTCGGGATGATGGCGTCTTCCTTCTTCGAATCATCGCTAGAAATACCACCGATCTTGTCGTCACAGATCTTGTCAAAGAGTTGTGGGGTATCTTCAAAGATAAACAAAATACAAAGAAGAACAGAGAACTGGAACCAGAAAGCAGTATGCTGGACGAGGCCAAAGAACCACTCACGTGATAGCTAGTAGACTAGATTTTTTCCCCCAAGCAATTCATGTGATGTCTCGATTGTCGAGACCTCTAGCCTTTCGAGTTTCGCCATTTTTAGAGTCGTTTTATGTCAGAATGTTAGTTAGTTCTCAGGCCAATCTTAAAGTCACCCGTCAGACTTGGTGCTTTTTTCAACTTCCATAGATACATAGTCAATATGTTTAAAAATTCTGTATGATGGTTGTTGTACTAATACATGTAATTAATAATTATATGCAGTGTAAACTTTTTAGATAACGAAACAACGCATTACAAAATCTAGTCTCAATTAAGGATTATTATCTGGGTAATGGTATTTAGCAGTGTCACTGACACACCTAAAACAATGCATATTAACAGAGCCGGAGTAAAAGCTCGGAAGTTGCTTGTGAGATCTGGGTTGTGAGATTCAGCATTTTAATGTAGTCTTATTTTATGATATTTAGCCTTCAGTTTCTGAAAGGTTCAACAACGAATCCTTTGTCTTCCTCTGTATAGAAAATGCTATAATATCTATGTATAAAACACTGTAGCTAGTTTTGTAAATAATGCATCCATCAAATAAAAGATATTTTATTTAGTATGAAACGATTTTATGTTGTGTAAACGGATTATATTTTCCTCCAAATGTAACCACATCCCCATTTTTTGTTGTTTTTCTTTGCTTCTGTATTAAGAATGTGATCTCATCTAAATGACACGCAATGTTCGGTATATTTTATTTTTTGTCATTTGTTCATCTTGTCTTCATGGCATTAGCTTGCATTTGATTTTTTTGATGTCATCCATGTCATTGAGATGTTTTAATTCTTGTTGAAACTGTTTTATTAGAGAGGCATTCCTTTTATAGAAAATCAAGGTTTATGCTTATTTTTGTAATACAGAATTTAAAAAAAAATACTTTGTTCAGCGATGCGAATAAATAATAAAAAAGTAAATTAATTGTTTTGTTTTTGTGTATGAAATGTTCTGCTGGGCCTGCGCAGAGCTAGGATGCTGTCGTGATAAGAAATTTTATGGTTGGATTACCCGTTTATTTTATTACAAATGAGGAATACATCTACGTTTCAACTTATCTCATTTTTTTTAACTTAATCATTGGAGAGAAAAGCTTTGTAAACTCACATTACATAAAATTCAGAAGAGATCGTATTTCCTACAGGCAAACGATATATAATCACACTTTTTAGGAAACACCTGTAAACACATGTACATCCAAAAATGCACTCGAGGCTTTAATAGAAATTCCGTAGAACAGTACGTAATACGCGTTCGTTAATTAATGTATATTTCTTTTTAATTGGATACGAGCATTTGTCAAGATCGCTGTGGGTGTATTATTGCCCGACTGGGACATTCACGCGAGAGGTCGGGCCAGCTAGACCAACGAAGTTTCAAGCTCTGGATGAGGGTCACGAATTCAGTCCCCCGATTATACCTAATCTGTGGAGATAATTAATTTCAGTGTCTCTGAGGCGAAATACAATTTGGAATACCCAAAAACGATAGAGGAAGCATTTGTCCTCAGAGATGGGAGAAGGGTAAGTGTTTTGACATTTGTTTGTTTATGTGTTTTTTCACCCGAAGAAAGGGACACACAATTGGCAAAGTTTGAACTCGTGCGAAAAAAATTAAAATTTTTGACATTTGTTAAATAAAAATATTTAAAACAAAAAATGCTACGACATTGTGACTGCATACAGTTTGCTGTGTTATAGTTGGGAGATTTTTGTTGGTTGTCCAGCCTGTTTCCGACATTATGGCCTATAGCGATTGTGGGTTTAGTCATTTGATGGATGCGATGGCCTTTGTGTTTATGACCTGTTTCTCTCTCTCTCTCTCTTTCTCTCGGTCGTTATTACACAGATATACAACATCAAGTCATTTGGATTGGTAATGTTAGAGAAATTTCTGGATTTAGTTCATTGAAATTGTCTTAACCTTCTCAACACATTTCAAACTATATAAATTGGGTCACTTTAAAACTTTGTTTACTAGGAGGTCGGACTTTTATTTTTATTTTTTTTTTCCTGACATACGATTTTATAAGTTCTCATAAACCAACGACATGTCAGCTGTCAGCTTATACATTATTTCTTTTTAATGTATATTACATGGAAATTACATGACATGATTTTCAAGCTGTTTTCATTCTCGAACTAGAAATTGACTCCCTCACGCCCGAATGTTATGTGTCCTTGCGGTAAATTGGATTGTGTGAACCGTGGTATCCCCTTTGTCAGTGAGATGCCTTCGATTACCTTTGATGTAAACAAAGATAAAATGCTTCATACTAAGGTGTAAACTTCTAACCCGAAATACTTCACGTTGTACCCCAGGTGATCGATTGATGAATTGGAGTACGTTCTTAGTTTTATACCAAAATGATGAAATATTTTGAGCCCATCTCGATATTGACAGCATTTATGGATGGACGGAAGTTCAAATAAATTTCAAAAATTTCCCTCCTCTTATACTTCAGAATTCAATAAATTATATTGTCTTTGTTAGCCATAAAGTAACCGGAGTTTTTTAGTCATTACTGATTGTTTGAAATTCGACCCATTATCAACTATACTACTCGTAATACACAATCTATATCCATGCTCATACATTGTCGCAAACGCATCATTTGTGCATAAAATTGCATAGTAATTATTCACTTTTTTTATGATTAATTAAAGAAATAAAGTACAAGTCGTGCAATGCAGTTGTGAAAATTACTTCAAAAATAGCAAAATATAAAAATAGATACTCCTTATTCTTAAGCTATAAAATATACTTGGTCGACAAAAATCAGGGGACGACGAAAACACTACTGAGATGAAAACTATGTGTCACGGAGATACTTGTAGGCAGAACCCCTTCGATGTATACGCCCGGGCTGTTGTGGATTCCCTTTTCACAATAAAATTTATTAGACATCATTTATGCTATAGGAATCGAAATCCCCAACTATATACACATATGAATAAAGATCGGGAATTTTTTTTTTGCATGGAACGATTCTTTATCCTTTCGACGGGCGGAGATTGTAAAGAAAGTTCACCAAAAAGGGGTGGTTCGGAAAAAAAATCTGAAAAATATATAAATCACCGTGTCAAAAAAATACTCTGCATCAAGAAAATGTGTTTAATGTGTTACAGAATGAAGATCGAGATCGATCCTACAGTATCTTAAGGTCACGGCACAGAGGTCAGGCGAACAAAAAGTATGCGCGAAACACTTTTTTTTGCTTTAAGGGTGAAATTTCTCTCCTTTTCTCCTTCCTTTTTTTGTCGCCTTTTCTTGAGTTTTCCTTAATTTTCTTATGACGCCTAGATTGTGTACCTGCCCCGGCATTAAGCGGAACCTATACCGGCCAAAGTTTGAAGGGTGTGGAAATGCGCAAAAATGCTTTCATGTCTGTCGTGTATCTAAGGTTGTATAAAATCAGACAGAATAAAGTCAGAGCTATATAATTTTAATAACTGATAGAGTACAGCTTCCTCTTACGATCCATTCCAAATATGATCTGAAATTCTCCCCTGGGGTCCAGCGCAGGAGGTCAGAATATCTTTTTTGGCCATTACGCATTTTTACTTTTTGACTGTGTAAAGGATATCGGTTTCGGGAGTTTTGATATATGTATTTTTGTTAGGTCTTGTGCAAAGTGCAATTCAACTAAGATAATCCATCAAAACATAAGTAAAAACAAGCCTACGTCTAGCAATTCACAAATCACAGTGAATCAGAAAACATAAAAAATGTCTTCAATTTGAAAAGAGAGAAGCTAAATTGTGCACCATATGTTTTAAAATAATCTTTTACAATTCAACGTTATTATTTTTTTTTCTTGAAATTAACAATCACTAAATTAAGCTTAATGACATCACGAAAAAGTATTTTTTTTTATTATGTTAAATATACCTTCATTGATTGTGAATGATAGCACATCGCCAGGCGCGTAGCTGCCTATACGCAAATACGCAAGTGCGTACACATCATTTTCGAAAATAAAATAAATGAATAAATAAAGAATTTTTTTTTTAATTAGAAGAGAGAGAGAGAGACGGAAGGTTATTCTGAAAAAAAATCTCGGTACCATCCAACAATTTTTTGTGTTTCATATTGTTTTGTGTCATACTGTTTCGAATCAAATTTAATATTATCATGTCTTTATAATCAAATTTGAATTTTTTTTATTAAATAATTGACAAATCCAAATAAATAATTGATTAATCTGTAATTGTTCTATGATACACGGATATTTTTTTAAAAAGATCTTTGAGAAATCATAATTCAAACATTTCGTTGAATGCTATGATCTACTCCTATTCAAATGATTAAAATACGGCATTCTTTGTTAATAACTAACATTTATTATACTTGTTGTTGAACGTTAATAAAGAGTTTATGATACCAAAATAACAGTAAAATATATAGCCTCAACTGCACGTACAATAAATTTACATGGAAGTATAAACTTTGCGTTAAAAACAATATTACTATGTCTTTTATTTTCTAAAATTAAGGCGAAATGGCATAATTTTTATTTTACAAGAAAATGAGTGAAATATATGATAAAACTCAGGAGCTTCCGGGGGCTCCGCCCCCTAGGCCCCCATCAGGGTTTCGTCCTGGACCCACTATCGGGGGGGGGGGGGGTCAAGGCGGCCCCAGACACCCTGCCGTTCTCTGCGTACACTTCATTTCCATTCTGGTTACGCGCCTGATCGCAATGTCAACAAAGAGAGAGAGAGAGAGAAAAAAAAACGCTCAAAATATTACATAGACCATGTATTCAGAACAGATATTAAAAAAAAAAAAAAAAACAATGAAAATTAAATGATCGATCAAATGATAAAAAACAATATCTTTTTATTTTGGATATTATCCATTACAATATAATTAAAGAAAAAATATTTCCTTTTTGTCCAATTTTTTGTAAAGTTTTTCATACGTTTTCTTCCTTTAAAGTGTTTTGTAGGACACACAATCTGATAAAGAAAATAAAACAAAAATCACCATAAACAAAGATTTTATAACTGAAGACTTTGTGTATGTAAAACTTTAGAGATTTCTTGAATTGAATTTTTCTTATTTGTATCTGGTATGATTGTAAATTGTATATTTTTCTTCAAAAGAAAATTTTTTTGTTAAAATTAAAATTGCTCAAGAGAGTCTGTATGGGGTACCCTTTCACCAGACCAAAAATTATGCATATGGGATGTACGTTAACGACCCAGTTTTGACCTAGCACGGCCATCTTTCCGCGAGATAAGGAGAATTCCCGCTTTCTGACAGTGAACAAACGTCTCTGAGCAAACAAGCAGTTCGAAGTCTATAATCGCTTAAACTGACCATTCCCTTCCCTTTGGATTAGTGTCCAATTCGTGACAGAGGACAGAAGGCGGCGAAAATGTAAGTTAATCAAAGGTCTCCATATTCTGTTAATGAAGCTTTTTTTTTAAATAGATTGAAATTAGTGACCCTTTGAATGATCTATAAGGGACGACGATGGTTCATAAGAAAGTTATGTTAGGTAATCGGGTGTATCTTTCCTATATTTTTTTAATTATATATATATATATTTCATGCTTTCAGTTTGTTTTATTTTTTGGTCACGATTTGTGAAGGTACGTACCTTGATTCTTAGTCTCTTTATCTCGTTTATTAACAATGTTAAAGTTTCTTATCACAAAACACAATGTGTAAATCTTCTAAGTTTAGCACCATGCGTCAGCGATAAGTAATCTAATTAAACGTTAAATCATAATGAGTTTCTTGCTATCTGTATGCTAATTAATAGATCTGTCAATCAGATAACTATAAAGGAATTACCAAAAGGCCAGGTCATGTAATATCACGTAACAATCTACCCACGGAAAATGGACCCGTCATCTTCCAACATTAAAACAAAGCTAGCTAACGTTGCTCCTTGTTGAACCGCTGGGATAATGTTCATGCTGTTATCTACAAATCAAAGCATAGATCAAATAACGATCGATCTGGGTCGTGACCCAGTCTGGAAGAATTTGTGATATTTTTTTTAATGCATTTCCTCTGCATCCCGACTTTTGTTAACTTGTCCTACATGCTGCGGTTTTTGTTGGCCTTTCCACATCCATACCCTGTAAAGTTGAAACAGACACCGTCTGTGACTCCTTGACCTAAAAAAACCAAAAGCAAACAAAAGAATGTAAGCATATCATTTATAAAAACCATGTGAATTTAAATAGATGTCCTTATGTAGTAGAAAAAATCCTGATTGAATTTCCACTATGTAATATTGGGTGTCGGTTTTTGTATTTAACGGAAGAACAAAGAGTCTGCAGATCAACTATTGAAATGACCCAATGATTGAACCCTAAACATGAAAGCCATTATGTCATAAACAAAGAAACTTTACATATTTTTTTGCATGTCCTTGCTTTTGTTTAGAACCAATCCAAAATAGTGTTCTTTAGCATCTTTGATACAGACCTTGTGCCTAAAACAATATGTTCTATATTACACAGCCATAGTAACCGAATAACAAATGTTCAAAGTTATATTTCTATAGTTTTCGGACATTCTGCTGTTTATGGGGGATAATAACCATTCGTGATATGCTATAATTATTTCCATGGTTACCAAATCAACACTTAAAGAGACATAAAAAGACATTGAAAAGGTTCATAAACTATTACGCCATTGACCTCTCACAGTCGGGGGTTATTGAATACTGGCCGGTTATCTCCAATTTATCAACTTTGGATAGTATGAGATTATAATCCTCGGTTACATACAGGTCATCAAATTCTGAACCAGCCATGTTTGTAATACCCGGCTGTATAAACACGGTTACCATGGTACATGAACACAGCAAATTTAAACAGGTTTTCGGAGTTTAATTTTAGGAAGCTAGTTATGTAACTATGTAGATATCACAGAATACGCATTTAAAGTCGATTGTTCCGATTAAGACGCATATTTTTTCTTACACAAATATACTTGGAATATGTATAATAATAAATCATGTGTTGTTTTTTTTTTTCGAAATCAAAGACCAACAAGTTTAAATTCATTCTTCATATTAATAACATTTGAAATAGACCTTATTTTCTTTTCATTATTATATGTACAAAATCGTAATTGAAAAAATTAATATGACTCAATTATTTCTCCTCAGTACTGATGTAAAATGTCAGATTCTTTATTATGGGGGTACTTACTAATCTGTGTCAACGCTCTATCGTGTGTCACCAAAATTACAATATCCTCATAAAAACGATATCCTTATTTATTGTTCATTTTCAATTCTTTTTCTTGTGATATCAATTCCTTTCAGTTCTAATCTTTCAATGTAATCAAGACCCTGGACATTGACCTCTTTAAATCACCGGGTTTAGCTCCAGAACTTTAAATAACTTTGACTTCCATGTGAAATCATCGTCTTTTTTTGAAAATTAACTTTAATTCCTTTACAGTGCATATGATCGCACTTAAAATGATCTAAATTTAAAATCTTTCTCAGATTCACTTCATTCTTTGGGGATCTTTATTGGAATGGGAATAAACCTGACGAACTCTCTCGTTTTCAAGGACGTAATATGAGAAAAGATATAACGCTTCCTGTTTTTCCATACACGACTACTTCAATGAAAATTCTCAGCTGTATTAAAGATATTGGTCGAAATACAGACAGTCACGCCATGAGATTTATAAACAATTACCACTTTCTCAAGCCATTTTATTTTAAGATTGTACTCTGACAGCAGAATAAAATAATAAAATTGTCAAATGCACAACTCTTTTTAACAACAAACTTTTATGCAGCCAGTCTGTTCATGTTGTCAGTCAGGAGGTATGGGGTTCAATTTTATTGTTCACTAAAAGGACAGCTAAGAAAGGACCTGAACAAACCAAGACATACGCTAAACCTCTTCCTTCGCCATCAATGAAAAGAACAAATCTGTTTGATTTTGTTGCCGGTGATACTGTTGTTTTCTATTTTGGTTGTTTTTAAGACTTTAGTTATCAATTTCAATTTCAAGAGCGAGGGAAAACCCACAATCTGATATATATAAGTTGTTTTGAAACAGCTGATGAAGTACTTTTACCAGCGTTCTGATTCTCGACTCCAGTGACTACCGGTACATCAAAGTATGCAATACATGTACTTAAAAACTTTATTCAGGATTGGTGCTGTAAACGCTAGTAATAAATTAATTCCTAAGTGGGGTTTTGTTGCTCAACCCAACTCAAAGTACAAACGAATGGCAAAGACAAACAAACGAAAAAAGAGCGAATGATAGACTATTGAGTAGAAGTTAATTCTTGTCTGAACATTCCTTTTAGATTGTTGACCACAGAAACAAATGTTACAAAGTGTTCTTTTGAATCTCACTTTTGTCCTTGATTTTCAATTTGAGGTTGAAAATGGTCATTTTTTATGAATTTTTGAAAATCAAATTTAATTATGTTATTAATGATTACAATAAATACAAAGATGGCAAGCTTTTCTACGTTACACCGCTGTCTACCGTACGGGTAGAAAAGGGTGAATGACCGGTCCCATTCTATTTGTACAAAAAACAAATAAGGTGTAAACACCATAAAACAAGATCTATATATGTCAAGAATTTGATACTTGATGTAGGGGACTATACATTCGACAAGTTATTCATGACGTAACAAAAATGATTCATCTCTCCTTTTTGTACAAAAAATCTACCATGATCACCTACATACATGTATACCAAACCTCCACAGAAGTTGTGATACCTGTAACTTGAGAATAAAGGTGCACGGGCCTAACGGGGATCATAATTTATCAGGATTTCTGCTCGAGATTTTTAAAAACCCGCAGAACAGCACATTTTTTCTTGACTGTACCTTACTGAGTATCCGCTCAGACCAAGCGTGACATCAAATTTGTGGGTGTGTGTGTGACTAAATCAGAGAAATGTTTACTTCTCGTCTGTTTGGTTTCCATTGATAAGTGAGACGTGAATTGGGGGACTTTTGTGGAACTTTTGACCGAACACTCTTACGGAGGGTCCAAGACCGGGTGTAGTGGGTATTGAAGATCATAAACCCCAGGACAAATCAGGGGAAGTATTCTGAACCATGTAGGTATTCAAATTCGAGACTAATAGACCGATTTACATGTATATACCACAAACTTGTGTTGATATCTTAGGTTTTGTTTGAGGACAAATTGTAAATGATTGTTATGATTGTTTTAGCACATGTATATTGTATTTCAGGGTTACAGGTAGGTTAAACATTGTGTTTAGTTTTCACCTTCCGGATGTGTGCACTTTTATGCAAACCTTCAGCATTTTTCTGAATGTGTATACCAGTTAAAATTTAAAAAAAAAAATACATGGAATGGAGTTTAAGAGAAGATGCGTTAAGCCCTTAGGCAAAAAATACTTTTAAAAAAAGATTTTTAAAAAATGCTAGGGTTGGAGACTTATCCTATCCCTAAATTATTGGTACAACTATCTTTGACTAGGCGACTGAATTGATAAGTATAACGAATGTTTATCGCACACATGTCGCATTTGATGAAGTACCATTTAATATTCTAGGTCCATATCTCTCTTCGTTGTGATAAAGTGGGGCATTGGAAAATGGTGACACATTTATAAGGCATACTCCATTGAACACACATAAATTAGATGTAGAGGAGCAGTGGTGTGAATCAATTTTATTTATGGTTTAAATTGTTTTCAGTTCAAATTCACCAAATTAAGTGGAAAATCCTGGTGTGTATATATTAGAACATACAAAATGTAACTAACATTTTGTACCGTTTATATCTACTTAGAAATTTCCGCTAGAGAATGGATAAGGTACAGTTGTACAGATATTGCGAAATCCCTGTACTTAAGCTTTTAAAGTTTCACAATATAAAAGTTAGCTCTTTTATAAGTTCATATTCTTACAAGATCAGCGTTAGATAGGGTGTGTTTCCTACATGTAAGTAAAATTAACACAAATTTATGACAGAAAAGTGTGATAATTTCAAGTTGTAGTGAAAAAATTCCAAGGATTTGTTGAATTTAAATGTAAAGGGTGTGGGGGTGTCTAAACACAGAAAATTATGAAGGTTTTTGCCAGTTTATTGCTGCAAAATGATAAGTTTAGTGTTAAAAATATTTCCGCCGGTTTCCATAGACACAAGATCTATGATATTGGGGGAGACCCAACGGCGTAAGTATACAAATAACCGTCTGAACAACTCAACTAACGTTAACTAATCAACCGCTGCCTGACGGCTTAGTTTTTTTGCTTAGTTTGAAAATAACCAGTCTTCGTTTGTACCACAAACAGAAAAAAGAGTATAAAGTCAGCTAGGCCGAAACTTCGTCAGTCGTTTTTGAATTTTTTGTTTTGTCCCGTCCTTTAGCTTTTTTCCTTTGGCATCGCCCACGGCGTGAGTATATTGTTGGATCCGCTCTTCTTACTAGCGAGTTGTTCCCTAATGCTTAATTTGAATAAATTAGAATTTTCTAACACCTTTTAATTTTTTTTTTTACTCTTTGTATAATTTTGAAAGGATTAACTTTTGATTTGATTGTTAATTTGCAAAAAACCACTTGCGTGTGCATGCATGGCTGTTGTTGTTGTTGTTTTTTTTTTTTAAAGTTTGATATTTATAGTTGAATCATTTTGCAAAATCATATTGAAAGTTCTTTGCTATTGTCAATAGGTTGTAATAGAAACCGGTAAATTTCATGTTTATTTAAAATTATTCAGATTATTTAATACAAGAAAGGTAAACGTGACAGGTGATGAACCCACGCAATGTTTTGCTCGATTTTTCTGTTATATGTTCATAAATAGAATGGAATTTTAAATATGGGCAATTTACTTATAACGAAAAGGGGTTTTATTCACCTATTGATAGGTGTTTATTAAATCGATAAATTGATCGCGCTTGATTAATATGATTTTTAAAAAGAAACTTTAAAAAGGGGAACAGGTGAAAGAATTATCACGATCTATCTGATATATCAGCCTACACACAGATAAAAAGTAACTTAAATGGACTAGTGCAGGAAGTCTCAAACATATGTGCTTGTCAAGAGCTCACGCCCTTGGACAAACAAACGTCCCCTTTTAAATATGCCTTTAAATCTTAAGTTTATAGGTTTTTGAGTGTTGTAAATTTACCTACTCAAACAGTTTGGGAAAATGCAGTTACCTAGTCTTTTTTAAATATTTTAGGTATTTTGTATTTTATTAAGTAATTTTTGCTACAAAACAACGTCACTATACATACTATTAATTATACATATCATAATAATTTTGACTGTTTTTGTGTTCTTACTCAAAACTATTAAATTAAATACTCAGAGATATAAAACTTAAGTATAAGTCGACGATATTCTTTTAGAACATTTAAAGAATAAACGAGGAATCAGTTTAATTCATATAAAAGATGTACAAAACTAAAATACTAAATCAATCATTGATGTAATTTCTACATCCCTCTGTCTTCTATTTTTTAGGGTGGAAGGTATATTAGGCGCGGTTCCCTCTATCTCTAAACTCCGGGGGACCAACAACGATGACTGGATTGATCGTCTCAATCATCGTTACACAGTTATCCTCCTTGTTATCTTCGCTGTTGTCGTCAGTACGGGCCAATTTGTGGGCGAACCAATTCAGTGCTGGTGCCCGGCCGAATTTACAGATGCATATGAAGCCTACACTACATACATCTGCTGGATTTCTAATACGTACTATATTCCCATGGAGGAAACCATTCCAATTGATATTCGTACGCGACAGGAAGCGGAAATAACATACTATCAGTGGGTACCCATCATTCTACTTTTCCAGGCGCTAATGTTTAAAGTCCCGAATCTTTTCTGGCGATTTACTCATAGCGCTTCCGGTGTGAATCTGGATAAGATTGTCGCCATGGCGGAGGAAACTCAACTTGGTTCTCCCGATGATAGAGCGGAAGCGATCAAAAATCTCGCCAGCTACCTGGACAAGTGGCTGGGAACTTACCAGGAGTACAGAAACAATATCTTTGTCCGTGCCAAGAAAAAAGCAGAGAGGTTTTGCTTCTTCATCTGTGACCGCCGAGGTGGGACATATCTAATAGGTCTCTTCATCACAATCAAGGTTGTCTACATGGCTAACGTAATTGGACAATTTTTCATCCTTAATGCGTTCATGGCAACGAAGTACAACCTTTACGGTTTTGAAGTGATTCAAAATTTGATTGACAATGAACCGATGATGGAGTCTCCGCGATTTCCACGCGTGACCCTATGCGACTTTCAGATCAGACAACTACAGAATCTTCAGCGTTGGACAGTGCAATGCGTACTTCCTGTTAATCTATTCAACGAGAAAATCTTTATTTTCCTGTGGTTTTGGTTTTTTCTAATCGCTTTCCTGACAGCTATAAATCTTTTAAAATGGTTGTTCTACCAGCTATACCAAAATAATAAAGTGCAATATGTTAAAAAGTACCTGAAAATAAACAATGAAATCAATACAGGTTTCGATAAGAAGTTGTGCGCTAAATTCTCCAGGGAATATCTCAGAAATGACGGTATATTCCTTATGTATGTGATTTCTAAAAACTCCACAAATCTGGTTGTTACAGATCTGTTGCACGAACTCTGGAAAATTTTTAAGGACAAACACAAGCCACATTCAAACAACATTGACGAGCCTCTCTTGAACAGCGAGAAAGAACCTCTTGAAGGAGGCCATCTTCACAACAGCTCAGCTTAGATCTGCAAGTGAGTGCTTGCTCAAATACCGAGGGGGTACGAAGAGTTCGTCCGACTTCCATTGTGTTTCGGATTCCCCGGAAGTGACATGACCACAGTCCCAAGACTGTGAATACCAGAAGATGGAAAGTGCTCATGTGAAGGAATGCTTTCGAATTTTGATCGGAGAGACAATTTTATTAGGTGCTATGGTTATGTCGTTTCTTAATTGTCAGTCTGAATTTGAAAAAAAAAAATATACATGTATTACATGACAAATTAATTTTCAACTTTAGGTTGAAAATTAATAGACGGAACAGTTATATATAGTCGGGTTGTGTCTCATTTCTTACCGGTATCAGTAACATGATTTTTGTAAAGGTCCAGTGCATTTTTTAAAACGACTCACATTCGAAGATATTAACCGTTTTTGTATAGATATACAATGTACATTTTTTCAGTCGCAGAATCGGTTTGTTTATTTTGTATTTTTGGCGTAATTGTATGCTTCGTGGCATTATTCGTAAATCGCTGTGATTAACATTGATGTGAAGTTACACACAGTAATGGTGCTATTCATCTAATCGGTGACCATTATTTTTGATTTAGCTTTGACATTTTGTAAAACTATGAATGCTGAATTTGAAATTATAATAACGGAATGTGAATTATTTGTTTTACTTACATATCAGGAGTTCTACTCGTTGCAGTAAGTTTACAATGTTCCTTGCCAAAATATATGGAGTGTTTTACGATTTTTATGGGTTTTTTTTCTTTTCTTTGTATAACTTATAAAAGTTGGCGTTTACATTTTGTAAACTAACGAACTGTATATAATTTCATAGTAAAACAATTCAAAACATAGTCGTCCATGTTGTCTAAATCCGGATGCATGAAAACTTTTCGTTTTTGTCGATGACTGGTTTAGGAACAGTCATAATTCACATGCCCCTAACAAATACACCTGAGATAGCCACAACAGACCAAAGATGTACAGTAAACACAGAGACCTTTCTTATCATCTGAAGTTGCTCGGGGCAAAAATTTCTGTGTAGATATTAGCTGTTTACCTAGGTGTGCATTTGTGCGGTAAAGAATTTGTCAACTTGTACAGGCGACAAACTTAGTGATTATAGTCCATTTAGTCCTGTCACGCCGCTGTCTGCGCACACAGAGTAAAGTGGAGCAGGTAAAAAAAGTATGTTAAGCTCCTTCCTTTTGGGTGATACCTGTCAGAATTGTGACCAAACCATGGCCTCTGAAATGTTTTGCATCCCTAACCAAAGCAAAGGTCGATGACTATAACAGAACTCTCACATTACCTTAAAAGAATATTGATGGGCACTAGAAAAACAGCTAAGAGGTTCATTTGATTTCCGGATTTTTTTTTTTTTAAACATTCAACTGTTCATTTCCGACATTTTACAGTTTTCACATCCGACATTTTTCATAAAGTACTTTCAAGGCAATGAAAACAGAATGGAAGACTTTATTTTAAAGAATCAATCATAGATCCGATACAGTCACTATCATATAATTCAGGCTATCTGTAAAATGCGTTTGTTTACCCTCACCCGACCAACTGGCAAAAAATGGCCCGACTCAAGACCTTTTTTAACCTCTTGAAACCTATAATTTTTTATGCATTCTGGAGAATAGATTTTAAAAATTCAACATTGATGTTGACATTTGCTCCCACCTACCTACCGACCCAAGTTTTTCATCCTAAGTCGGGAGAGGGCAAAAAAACATTATTTTAAAGTTGGCCTCGGTGGACATTATTAAATTTAGTGAACAAAAATTGCACATTCAGTTAAATATACAAAACTTAATCAGACTTAGTGCTGCATGTATAAACAGTGTATTACAATATTTTTATTTGAAAAATGTTGGTTAAAATAAAATAAGTGTAATGTTTATATCTTGTTCAAATTTTATAGTCCATACTTGAGCCTTTGTCTGGATTAAGAGGGTGATTTTCAAAATTTAACTACAACATATTTTTAAAACTGGCTTTTCGCCTGATTGCTGTTCAGGACTATAGGAGATTTTTAAGGTATAATTTTAGAGAAGATGCCCCGCCTTTCAAGACCCAGGGATGAGGGCCATAATTAACTTATAACACAGTTGAGAGATGACTAAAATAGGCTGAGCTTGCTGCCTGCCCAATCCCATTTTTGCGAATAAAATATTGTTTAAAATTGACACCGTCAATTACCCCACAATGAAATCTTCAACAGAAGAAAAGGAAGCAAATTGATCCAAATTTTTTGAATGACAACTCAAGAAGAAGTACAAAAATCAAAATAGAGCAAGATGTGTTTGTGAAACACTGATGCCCCTGACAACTTATAGCAAAGGTTAAACTTTCTCAAATGCAAATCAAATATGTTGGTGCCCAAAGTAAGGTCTTGTCTCGAGGAATATATCTGTGAAATATAAAGCCACAGTAGCAACCATAGAATAGATATGGAAAAGGTTAACGTTTTTTCAAAAGTATGTCAAACATCAAGGTCAAGGTCAAATGGTCTAAATTAATGGTGCCCAAGGAAAGGCCTTTTCCCAAGAAATACACAGGTGAAATATGAAAGCCGAAACACCAATCTTTCAAAAGTTATGATCAAGGTTAAAGTTTTCCAAAAGTAGGTCAAACTCCAAGGTCAAAGGGTCAAAGTTGTTAGTATCCAAAGAAAGGTCTTGTCACAAGGATTACATAAAGTATGAAAGCCGTAGCACAAACTGTTCAAAAGTTATGGCCAAGGTTAAAGTTTTCCAAAAGTAGGTTAAACTCCAAGGTCAAGGTCTAAGGGTCAAAGTTGTTGGTATCCAACGGAAGGTCTTGTCACAAGGATTACACATGTGAAATATGAAAGTCCTAGCACCAACTGTTCAAAAGTTATGGCCAAGGTTAAAGTTTGGTAAAATTTTGCAAAACTGGGTCAAACTCCAAGGTCAAAAGGTCAAATATGGTGGTACCCAAAGAAAGGTCTTGTCACAAGGAATACACATGTGAAATATGAAAGCCATAGCTTTAACCAATCAAAAGATATGGGCAAGGTTAAAGTTTTTGCGGACAAACAGCAAGACAGACGGACGGACAGGGCAAAAACTATATACCTCCGAATCTTCGATACGGGGGCATAAAAAGTTTCTCTTAGTAAGATTATGTATATATATATATATATATATATATATATATATATATATATATATATATATATATATATATATATATGCATTATTGTTGTGTGATTATGTTTCAAGCTCTCAAAATGATTCATTCAAATTTTGAAGGGTTTCTGACAATCTACAGTCCAATCCCATGTTTAGTGGGATTGACGTCAGACTATCAAATTTTGTTCCAACTTGACAATATAAATTCGTTTTCCATGAAAAACTGTCTACTCTTTCGTCATCAAATATTTAATCCTTTCAATATAATATTTTATAAGTACTAGTGACATCCCTTCGATGACCATATTTGTACAGTCCTTGACAACTTCCTGGTCCAGTGAATATGAGGTTTAGGGCAATTGAATCAATAATCTTATGCTTATGTCCATTTTTTGAAAAATAAACCGCAGATCTAGAACTGTTTATCTTAGAAAAAAAAAAGATTTTGCTCATAAAAGAAAAATCAGGCGATCCAAGTTAGAACATAAGTAATGTCCTATCAGGCTCCCCGAAAGGCGTGCATTTTTAACCAACAAAAAAAATTATTATGTCAGGTCGGTGAATCATACTAATGTTTTTTTTGGAATATGAAGAAGATTTCTCTTTAATTAAGTGCATGCTCCTTATATTTTTTATTAAGACAGTCAATTGCTTTCCAGAAATCCTGAAAAAGATTGAGTTTAGACAATATTATGCAATTATGTAAAAATAATTAGAAAAATGTATTCAGCAGTTAATTTGTGTAACGACTAGGCTGGCATTTAATCGCTGTCGTAATTTTATCCTATTTAAGGTCTTCCGTTTCCAACGGAAGACCTTCTACTGATTCTGATGGTTAAGATTATTCTTATTATTCTTTTTTTTTTTTTCCTAGACGCCAACTTTGAAGCTTCATATCTTCCTCATTTCTGAACGGATTTTGTTCAAATTTTCAGAGCTTTTAGACTTTGCAAAACACTCTCAGAATACTGTAATACAATTCGGAAATTACCTTCTGTTCACGAGTTATTCCCCTTTGATTGAAATTTTTATGCCTCTGGTTTCCAGACAAAGGCTCTGAGACTGTAATAATTGGAGCACAAAACCCTTTGAAATTGAAAAGAAGAAGCATTGAAGTTGTGCACATCGGTTTTTGTTTTTTGATTTTTGCATTAAAAATGGCGTTAGAGAGGGGTCAAAAGTTAGAACGCGGAAAAGAGCAAAAATTTTGACATATTTTCCTTTATATCTTTAAAACTAAAAATATTTTGTTAAAACATGTAGAATAAAAGTTGAGCATAATAGCATGAGCTTTCATTTGATATCATTTAAAAGGGGCTGGCCCCTAAAATTAGGGATCTAGAGCCCTTGAAAGTTTTCGCTTTATAACTCAAAAACGGTAAATATTTCGATATGGCTTTCGGAATTAAAGTTGTTCTTTAACACCTTATTGATCTCATACAAATGTTGTTTTGTTCGAGTATTGCGTAATATGTCGTAATATGTAGGTAAAAAGCAGGTCCCGTAAACAGGTAAGCGTTTTCATTCGGCAAGTAAATCGGAACTCTTCATGTGTATAACTTTAACAAACTTGCAATAAATTATATACCCTACTGTATTTAATGCTAATTTTCTTCTAAATAAGGTTTTAAACGTGTTCTGTGGTTCACTCATAAATTATTCTTTACAACTTTCTTTTCTTTTTTAATTTAGATTTAAAGGGAACACGTCTTCAAATAAAGGAAGGAATTAAATGTATCTATATAACTATATAAGTAATATTAAACTTTAAGCATCGAATAATTAATGATCATTAACAGTACGCATTTCTCCATGTTCACCTAAATGTTTTTAGTTATGTAACACAACCCGCGATCCCACGTTGCCGAGGTCACCATCGACCAGCCACCTGCGGTCATAAACCATGTAAACAAAACAAATATCTGTGAAGACTGTGATCACGTTTTAAATCCATCGTGTAGAAACAACAACTAATGAAACATTGTGTTTTTTAAATTTATATTGAATCTTTAAGATAACTTAATCTCATCTTTGATTTAATCTTAATTTCAAACACTAGTGCATAAAATCATTTCAAATTTTGATCGCTTTAACCGGCCTGTTCACTGTCGACACAGCAATACGATTTAAAAAAAAAAACAAACAAAAAAAAAAAAAAAAAAAAAATTTATTTCTCTGTCCCGTGTAATTGCATCTTTGATTTAGTCTTAATTTCAAACACTAGTGCATAAAATCATTTCGAATTTTAATCGCTTTTACCTGCCTGTTCACTGTCGACACAGAAATACGATTTAAAAAAACAAACAAACAATTTATTTCTCTGTCCCGTGTAATTGTATTCTATTTCAATTGTAATTGAAAAGGTGCTAAGGCAAATAACTGCAATTAGTGATGGAAGTATTAATACTTGTGTAAAGTATAATTTTTACTATCAGTCTCTTAATTGTTTCTTCATTTAATTTTTCATTAAATATTAAACTACATGTATATACATCAAATAATACTTTTAAACATACAATAATTCACGCCTTCTTACAGCACAGTTTACATTCTGCTCTGTCGCTTTGTAACCCAGTCTTCGTGCACACGTGGCCGCAGAGAGCCGGGGTCATATCGGTATTAAAATACATTGTGTACTCATAGCGATTAATGGAAAATTGGGTTTGAAATCATTTCGAATCTTACATATT